CCCGGCTGGGCTGGGGGCGCCGCCGCCGCAGCTGTGGGGCCGAGAGGCAGCAGGGAGGGAGGCAGGCCCAGGACGCAAGGTGGTGACAAGTCGCGTTTGGCCCCAGGTAAACGTGGGTCCGGCGGCGGCGCCCGCGCTGGGGGTCACGGTGGCTGTGCGTGGGAGGCGGTTACCTGGGATGGCAGACTCGGGAGGCTGTAGGGGCGACAGGCATAGCTTTGGAGAGCCTTCTTCGGGCAGGGTAATAGTAATTAACAGTAGTAATGATAATCATCATAATAAAATCGCTAATATTCAGGTGAACACTCATATGGGTGGCACTGTGTTGGGCAGCTTTGTAAGCCTTATTTCTCTCAGTGTTCACTATAACTACAAAGTTGGTTCTATTCCTAACCCCACTTTATAGCTGAGGAAACAGAGGCTTGGAGGTCAGGGGAATGGGGAGCTAGGATATGAATCTCAGTTGCTTTGATCTCCTGGGCTGGACGAACAACTGCAGCATGACCTGCGCTCTGCCTTACCAGTTGATACATTGAAGACTTTAAGTCAGGGGAAAGAAATTCATTCTTTTCTCTTAAGAGACATGGAAGGTGGACCTCATGCCACCTTTGATCCTCAGATACATTAAATTCTCCTCTCAGGGCTTTGCCTAAAAACGGCTCACCCCTAGCCCAGCCCCACAGCAGGTGCCTTATCCTTTGGGTCATCTTTCTGATCCTTCTGTTTTACTCTGTTACTGCCCTCTGTTCATTTTCTTCTTAGCACTTGTAATTTGTCATTACATCATATTTTCTATTTTAAAGAAAAAAAAAAATGTCCTTCCATCTAAAGTCTAAGCTCTGAACAGGGGACCATGCCTTTTTGTTGTTGTACCACTCTATAGCCTCAGTATCTAGCATGGAAAAGCCAGAATTCAGTAATGTGTTGATTCTCAGGTACACTTTTTTTTTTTCCATCTATGCAGAAAATTAGGAGCTCTGGTAGCATAGTGGCTAAAGCACTTGACTGCTAACCAGAAGGCTGGTGGTTCAAACCCACCAGCCACTCCTCAGAAGGAAGGTTGGGCAATCCTACTTCTGTAGTGATACTGCCTCGGAAACCCAAGGAGGGGTCGCTATGAGTCGGGGCCGACTCGACGGCACACAACAACAACAACAACAACAACATGCAGAAAATTATTTATTGTGTACCTACTCCTTGTATGGCAGGCACCTTGAGGGGTGTTTCCAGTATAACACAAGATCATGGAGGTCATTGATTGGCAGGCTAAGGAATCTAAACTTCAGTCACTAGGCAGTAAGAGGCCCTTGACAGTTCTTGAAAAGGACGGTGACATGATTGGAGCTACGCTTCAGGAAGATTATTCTGGTAGCAGGGTCTTAAGAAGGATGATGAAGAGGCTGGAAGTCTATACAGAGCCTCAAACTATAATGTGCACAGAAATCACTGGAGATTTTATTAAAATGCAGATTTTTACCCAGTGGGTGTGGGTTGGGCATTTCTGCACTTCTGACAAACTCCCAGATGACACTGATGCTGCTGGCCTGCAGACTACACTTTAAGTAGTAAGGGCCTTGAAAACAGTTCATTCATCTCAGTGACAGTCAATGAGGACCTGACTCCTAAGTGGTTAAGGGGAAGTAGCTGACTAGGCAGATCTGTAAATATTTGGTGACAGAAAAGAGAAAATAGACTTTGGTGGGTATATCAGGGTGCATTGGTTAAGACTTGCATTTTGATAATTGTAGTAAAAAGTGAGCATGAGTTTATTTTTCTCACGAAAACAAGAAGTATGGAGGTCATACTTAATTGTTGAGTCAAACTCTCACAGCCCTTAGAGGCTGCTGAGACTCCAGCCATTGTTTCTGCATTACAGGCAAAAAGGGAAGGGTAAAAATATTCTACCATTTAAGTGTGCCTGCTGTGAAGAGCTTTCTTATGTATCACTGACAAACATTTATATATCATTGGTCACCCCTGTCTGCAGAGAAGACTGGGAACGGGTTTTTTTTGCTTCCTTTTTTTTTTTTTTAAAAAAAAAAGTCAAATTCATAGTTGTGGCGACTGAAATCCTGCCCTGATGTGGGTGTTGGCATTTAGGTTACTTCAACTAAAGGAGGAGATGCCTCCTTCTAACCCACACAAAGACATTGATTCTGGCTCATTTACGAAAATATTAATGTCATCCACCATTTATTTACTGAGCACGTGCTGTGAAGCAAGCACTAGGGTAAATACTTTATGTGTTATTTCAACTAATAATGCTAATAGCCATATGTATTGGGTACTATTACAATACCCTTTTTACATACAGACCTGGAGAATTTAAAGAATTCATTCAGGCTTTCACAGTAAGTATCAAAAGAACCTTGGTAGCACACTGGCTAAGCATTCTGGCTGCTAACTGAAAGGGTGGTGGTTCAGATCCACCAGCCACACTACAGGTGATTACCTGGTAATCAACTTCCGTAAAAATTACAGCCAAGGAAACCCTATGGGGCAGGTCTGCTCTGTCACATAGGGTCACTGTGAGTCGGAATTGACCCAGAGGCACCTAACAAGTGCCAGAGCTGGGGTCCCAGGACAAAGTCTGACTGTAGAGCCTACACTCTTAACCACCACCTACACTACCCCTTTCTCTTAACTGCAAAGAAAGTTATTCAGTATGTAAAAACAAAACAAAAGACAAACAAGCACTACTGATGTTCAGGTTCACAGAACTATAATCCCCTTGAGATAGGTAAGAATATTTCAAAACCATCTAATCTAACACTTTATTTTACAGAGAGACTTATTAATGGCTGAGTATGAATTAGAATCTGGATTTTCTCACTCCTAGATCATTACCTTTACATAGTTTAAATCTTTATGTCATTGTTTTGATGGAATCTGACTGCTAACAAGAAAGCTGGCAGTTCAAACCCACCAGCTGCTGTGCGGAAGGAAGATGGGGCAGTCTACATCTGTAAACATTTACTGCCTTGGAAACCTAGTGTGGGCTGCTGTGAGTCAGAATCAGCTCTATGGCAGTGGGTTTGGTGTTGGTTTTGGATGAACACGTGACACTGGGCAGATCACTTTTGGAATCTCAAATGTACCCATTTACAAAATGGGACTTTGGGCCTAATGATTTCTCAGGGGCCTCAGCTCTCAAGTTGAGTTTGTATATGAGTAAATGGATATAAAATGGTTATATATTCCCAAATGTGTAGAGATTTATTCTTCAAAAAAGAATGTAAACAATGAGACATTAATCCCTTGTAATTTTCTCTGTGCTTTCTATCTGTGATTCAGTATGATTCCCTTTGGGATTTGAGATTTGGTTTAGGCATGTGCCCAGGATCAAGTAGCAGAAGCAGCAGTAGCACATATAAATCATGGCTGTCACAGAATTTATATGCCTGATTCTTTCATTCTCAACATTTGTTCAGTAGATTAATACTTAAGGAAAAATCATTAACATTTCATTGGCCAGAATCAACTTGCTTTACTTTGACTGTTTCTAGGAATCTTCAGGCAAGAATCTTAAATACTTTCTTAGGCACCCAGTTGAGTTGCATCTGAAGGCAAATAGCCCTATGAGATTTCTCCCTGTGCCAAAGGGGCAAGGAGGCTGCATCTTCCGACCTCTTCTAACCACGCAAAAATAAGACAGAATCACTATCAGTAGCCCAAAGCCTGTTCCTGTGAGGCTAGTCATGCTGCCTGCCTCCAGTCCTTGCCCCAGTTGTTCCTCCCACAACACCCACCACTTCTCTGCTAGGTTCAGTAATTCGCTGCAGTGGCCACGGAGAACTCACAGATTATGGGGTTTATTAGGGAAGCACCAGGCTACAATTCAAGTTCAGGAACTATGCTCAGTCTCTTTCAGCCAACAGTCTCTCTCCCAGCAGTGCATGTCTCTCTCAGCAGCACATCTCTTGGTGTCTCTTTCTTGGCACATGTCTCTTTCTCAGCAGCGTGTGTCTCTCAGGAGTGTGTTTCTCTCAACAACACATCTTTCTCAGCCAGCAGTCAGAGAGACTCCTTCTGCCTCTAGAAGGGCTCCTTTAGAGGCTGAACCAACCAATCCCAACATCAAAATTCCATACATCTGAGAGAGAGAGAATTTCCCAGAAAATTACTTTGTGCTGGTCCCAACAGAAATACCCCAGGTGGATGATGTTAACAATCAGGAGCTACTCAGTTTCTCACAGCAAATTCCACCATGGAGTTTACAAAGACTTATGGCTAGAAAAGCCATACCAAGTAATTTACTACAGCACACCCTGTAATAAAAATTTTCATTTTGCTTATAACCAAAGTTATATCCTTTTGTTCATAGATAGAAACGTTGGGATTCCCCCCAAGAGCAGTTATGCCACTTCCTTGCAGCCTGTATAGACAATTTAATAGTAATGGAAATCTTGACTGTTCAGAGGAACTGATTGGCATGCCTTGGCACATACCATCAATGCCTTGGGCCTCATAATCATGGAAGCCAGCTTGGCTAACATCTTTTGTCCAGTCTCAGAAGTCTGCCCACATCTACCAATCTGCCAGTGGGTATA